TATTCACGATATTGTTGGTTTAAAAAAAATTAAGATTAAAGTTAATTAATAACCTGTGAGGTATAAAAAATTTGGTAAGTGTTATTATTAATAAAATAGTTTGTTTTATTTATGTTGCTTTATTTATTCCTGCGGAATATTACAAATTTGTATTTGTATATAAGTTATATTGATAAATAATCATAAATGTGGGAAGTTTCATAAAGCTTGAAGTAAGAAATAGTTCTTTTTATATTTTTGGTATGTGGTATCTTGTTTTTGTTTGTTTTATTAACACATACCGTTTTTTATTAAATAAAAATAACTCGATTACATTTTTTCAGTTTTAGTACAATTTTTCAATAATATTTTAGTTGTCAGTCAAATTTTAAATACATGTATTAATTCCTGCTATGCGTTCCAGTTGTACCCAATTTATTTCTTTTGTAAAATAAAATAAACCACTTGAAATTAAAATGACAGCACATCTATCACTGTCAAGGATCTTCTCGTTGGACAGACTACATAAATTAATTACGTATGTGTATACCTTTAAGATTGTTAGATAAGGATAATATTTTTCCATCGATCGTGTCAGATGATGCTTTTGAGAGATTTGTTGATTCATCAATGTTTTTCGGTCAGTCGAGATTATTGTTGTTTATTGTAAACTTCGGCAAGTTTCGAGCGGAATAAATTTATTTGTGTTTTTGATTTCGACGATTTTCTGTAATATCCCTTGTTTTAATATAATACTAATTGCAAGATGCATGCTTGTCGCCCATGCGTAAGTACAACTTAACAAGTATAGCTAGAGACGTAAGAAATATAAAATAACACGGCGACCGGTGCTATCCCCAAGTCTCTCCCTATATTTGTACAACTGTACATCTCTGGTTTTTGCCATTTACGCGTGGACCACTCTGGTTTTTTCTTTGTACGCAACAACCAAGCTGTAATATCTCTGGGACTAAGCGTATTATTGCTTTTTCGAATGACAACATTTGTCGTTGTATTACGCTATCTAATTTCTATGAAAATGTAACGTATCTGGTTTTTCCCGTGTAGTATTCATTTGTCCACTCCATTTATTGCTATGAAAACGATTTAGGTATGTCGCCAATATTGAAGTTATTAATGTAAATTTGATATAATCTATTATTGTTTTAACGTTCTAAATTATCCGCAATTAACTCGAAAAACACTACGATCCGGAAATAAATCGGACATACGCTATAACAGTTGCATTATTTGCGCGGTCGTTTTTTTGCGCCTCGGCAAGTATAGCAAGGCTAGCCAAGCATACTTGGCAAGCGTACGATTAATCGACTCCGCCATTTACCGGCAGAGAGTGAGGACGCGACAAGTGATCAAGGAACCCGTTCTCAATGACATGGTCAGCATATCCAATAACAAATAAGCTTGTCAAGTACGCCAGTCGAGAATCCGCCTTAAGGATAATAGTTTTCTATCCATCGTGTCAGATGATGTTTTTGAGAGATTTGTTGATTCATCTATGTTTTTCGGTCAGTCGAGATTATTGTTGTTTATTGTAAGCTTCGGCAAGTTTCGAGCGGAATAAATTTGTTTGTGTTTTTGATTTTCGACGTTTATTTTCTGTAATATCCCTTTTGTTTTAATAATATACTAATTGCAAGATGCGTGCTTGTCGCCCATGCGTAAGTACATATCTCGTTTTTGCCATTTACGCGTGGACCACTCTGGTTTTTCCTTTGTACGGCAAAATAACCAAGATGTAATATCTCTGGGACTTTTTTCGAATGACGTTAACATTTGTCTATCAAGTTGTATCGCTATCTTAATTTCTATGAAAATGTGACATATCTGGTTTTTTCCCGTGTAGTCTACATTTGTCCACTCCATTTATTGCTGTGAAAACGATTTAGGTATGTCGCCAATATTGAAGTTATTAATGTAAATTTGATATTACATAATCTATTATTGTTTTAATCGTTTTAAATTATCCAATAATTAACTCGAAAAACACTACGATCCGGAAATAAATCGGACATACGCTATAACAGTTGCATTATTTGCGCGGTCGTTTTTTTGCGCCTCGGCAAGTGTAAACAAGGCTAGCCAAGTATACTTGGCAAGTGTACGATTAATCGACTCGGGCTATATTTACCGACAGAGAGTGAGGACGCGACAAGTGATCAAGGAACCCGTTCTCACGACATGGCAAGTATATTCCAATAACAAATGTTTGTCAAGTACGCCAGTCGTGAGAATCCGCCTTAAGGATAATAGTTTTCTATCCATCGTGTCAGATGATGTTTTTGAGAGATTTGTTGATTCATCTATGTTTTTCGGTCAGTCGAGATTATTGTTGTTTATTGTAAGCTTCGGCAAGTTTCGAGCGGAATAAATTTGTTTGTGCTTTTGATTTTCGACGTTTATTTTCCGTAATATCCCTTGTTTTAATAATATAATACTAATTGCAAGATGCGTGCTTGTCGCCCATGCGTAAGTACATATCTCGTTTTTGCCATTTACGCGTGGACTACTCTGGTTTTCCTTTGTACGGCAAAATAACCAAGCTGTAATATTCTGGGACTAAGCGTATTATTGCTTCCTTTTTTCGAATGACGTTAACATTTGTCTATATAAAGTTGTATCGCTATCTTAATTTCTATGAAAATGTGACATATCTGGTTTTTCCTGTAGTCTTCATTTGTCCACTCCATTTATTGCTGTGAAAACGATTTAGGTATGTCGCCAATATTGAAGTTATTAATGTAAATTTGATATTACATAATCTATTATTGTTTTAACGTTTTAAATTATCCGCAATTAACTCGAAAAACACTACGATCCGGAAATAAATCGGACATACGCTATAACAGTTGCATTATTTGCGCGGTCGTTTTTTTGCGCCTCGGCAAATATAGCCAAGGCTGGCCAAGCCTACACTCAGCAAGTGTACGAATAATTGTGATCCTTTGACTCGGGCCATATTTACCGACAGAGAGTGAGGACGCGACAAGTGATCAAGGAACCCGTTCTCACGACATGGCAAGTATATTCCAATAACAAATGTTTGTCAAGTACGCCAGTCGTGAGAATCCGCCTTAAGGATAATAGTTTTCTATCCATCGTGTCAGATGATGTTTTTGAGAGATTTGTTGATTCATCTATGTTTTTCGGTCAGTCGAGATTATTGTTGTTTATTGTAAGCTTCGGCAAGTTTCGAGCGGAATAAATTTGTTTGTGTTTTTGATTTTCGACGTTTATTTTCTGTAATATCCCTTGTTTTAATAATATAATACTAATTGCAAGATGCGTGCTTGTCGCCCATGCGTAAGTACAACTCTGGTTTTTGCCATTTGCGCGTGGACTACTCTGGTTTTTCTCGTCTACGGCAAAATAACCAAGTTGTAATATCTCTGGGACTAAGCGTATTATTGCTTTCTTTTTTCGAATGACGTTAACATTTGTCTATAAAGTTGTATCGCTATCTTAATTTCTATGAAAATGTGACATATCTGGATTTTCCCGTGTAGTCTTCATTTGTCTACTCCATTTATTGCTGTGAAAAAGATTTAGGTATGTCGCCAATATTGAAGTTATTAATGTAAATTTGATATTACATAATCTATTATTGTTTTAACGTTTTAAATTATCCGCAATTAACTCGAAAACACTACGATCCGGAAATAAATCGGACATACGCTATAACAGTTGCATTATTTGCGCGGTCGTTTTTTTTGCGCCTCGGCAAATATAGCCAAGGCTGGCCAAGTACACTTGGCAAGTGTACGATTAATCGACTCGGGCTATATTTACCGACAGAGAGTGAGGACGCGACAAGTGATCAAGGAACCCGTTCTCACGACATGGCAAGTATATTCCAATAACAAATGTTTGTCAAGTACGCCAGTCGTAGAATCCGCCTTAAGGATAATAGTTTTCTATCCATCGTGTCAGATGATGTTTTTGAGAGATTTGTTGATTCATCTATGTTTTTCGGTCAGTCGAGATTATTGTTGTTTATTGTAAGCTTCGGCAAGTTTCGAGCGGAATAAATTTGTTTGTGTTTTTGATTTTCGACGTTTATTTTCTGTAATATCCTTGTTTAATAATATAATACTAATTGCAAGATGCGTGCTTGTCGCCCATGCGTAAGTACATCTCTGGTTTTTGCCATTTGCGCGTGGACTACTCTGGTTTTTCCTTTGTACGGCAAAATAACCAAGCTGTAATATCTCTAGCACTAAGCGTATTATTGCTTTCTTTTTCGAATGACGTTAACATTTATCTATAAAGTTGTATCGCTATCTTAATTTCTATGAAATGACATATCTGGTTTTTCCCGTGTAGTCTTCATTTGTCCACTCCATTTATTGCTGTGAAAACGATTTAGGTATGTCGCCAATATTGAAGTTATTAATGTAAATTTGATATTACATAATCTATTATTGTTTTAACGTTTTAAATTATCCGCAATTAACTCGAAAAACACTACGATCCGGAAATAAATCGGACATACGCTATAACAGTTGCATTATTTGCGCGGTCGTTTTTTTGCGCCTCGGCAAGTGTAAACAAGGCTAGCCAAGTATACTTGGCAAGTGTACGATTAATCGACTCGGGCTATATTTACCGACAGAGAGTGAGGACGCGACAAGTGATCAAGGAACCCGTTCTCACGACATGGCAAGTATATTCCAATAACAGTTTGTCAAGCACGCCAATGTGAGAATCCGCCTTAAGGATAATAGTTTTCTATCCATCGTGTCAGATGATGTTTTTGAGAGATTTGTTGATTCATCTATGTTTTTCGGTCAGTCGAGATTATTGTTGTTTATTGTAAACTTCGGCAAGTTTCGAGCGGAATAAATTTGTTTGTGTTTTTGATTTTCGACGTTTATTTTCTGTAATATCCCTTGTTTTAATAATATAATACTAATTGCAAGATGCGTGCTTGTCGCCCATGCGTAAGTATATCTGCCATTTGCGCGTGGACTACTCTGGTTTTTCCTTTGTACGGCAAAATAACCAAGCTGTAATATTCTGGGACTAGGCGTATTATTGCTTTCTTCTTTCGAATGACGTTAACATTTGTCTATAAAGTTGTATCGCTATCTTAATTTCTATGAAATGACATATCTGGTTTTTCCTGTGTAGTCTTAATTTGTCCACTCCATTTATTGCTGTGAAAACGATTTAGGTATGTCGCCAATATTGAAGTTATTAATGTAAATTTGATATTACATAATCTATTATTGTTTTACCGTTTTAAATTATTAGCAATTAACTCAAAAAACACTACCATCCGGAAATAAATCGGACATACGCTATAACAGTAACATTATTTGCGCAGTCGTTTTTTTGCGCCTCGGCCAGTGTAAACAAGGCTGGCCAAGTATACTTGGCAAGTATACGATTAATCGTTTGACTCGGGCTATATTTACCGGCAGAGAGTGGGGACGCGACAAGTGACCAAGGAACCCGTTCTCACGACATCGACATGGCAAGTATATTCCATTAACAAATGTTTGTCAAGTACGCCAGTCGTGAGAATCCGCCTTTAACCGAATATTAACTATTAATTAAACTGTACTTTTACGCTGTTTGTATGGTATCACTGTTGGTAACTGTTTTATCAAAGTCTAGTTGGACGGCTTCGTAGCGTCTTAAGTAAGCTGGAAGACAGCCTATTTACTTTGATGTTGAAAAGCATTCCAACTCGACTTTCATAACACCTTAACTAACCTAATCTATTTCAAAGCCATCGCAAAAACAATTTCCGATGCTCGTAATCAACTTTGATTTGCTGATCGTGGCGCAATGTGACCAACATGACGATCATAAAAATCGTTTTAAACTAATTTTTGCAGCTTTAATCTTAAAACTAAAAATATTTATTACAATTCATTGCTATATGAAGAAAAATGAAGAGCTGCTCGGTATCTTATAATATACAACAAATTTAAACATCTTTTCCCAAAATTTTATTTGTCAGGTTTATATGCTTCAGTGTCAATTTCGATATGAATGAAAATGTTTTTAGAAAAAAAAATGTTTTTGCGATTACCGTTATCTACACAGCGACCGCTTCACCAAGTAAGACCGTCGCGCAGCATAGTTACATTAAACTCGGAATGTAGATGGGGCTCGAAGAGCCCCACCTTTTCATGATATTTTGACGACGTTTCGTGCACTATGAAACCCCATCATCAGTGACGAAAAAATCGTCCGATTTAATGAGTCTTCGGAGCGTCGTAACTGGGGCCCGATGGCTAGGGGGCTGAAACTCGGAATGCAGATGGGGCTCGAAGACTAGACTAATGAGCTGAGACTCGAAGTTTCGTGTACTATGAAAACCCATCATCAATGGCGAAAAAATCGTCCGATTTAAATTAAATTTGATATGTCGAAAGATTGGACCAAGGCCAACTTAATCGTGTACGACACGTGTCACTGTGACAGTTAGTTTTGACGTAAGAAACGTTAAAAGTTGATTTCATCCGGTCGCGACCGAATTTGGTATGTAGATTATGTGAGTTGGTGCCACCCTGCAAAATTGGATACGACGTTTCGTTTACAACTTCATCAGGGTGGGATGGACAGACGGAGAGACGCACAGGCAGACTGGGAGACGGACAGACAGACGTTTCACTTCAAATATACGCACAGAGTGCACACACTAGCACACACAATTTTTTTCTCATAAATATGAATTTCCGGTTGACCTGACGTGTAGAGAAATAAACGACAAGTTGTATTATATTCAGTTTATATAAAAAAATATTTTTTTACCGTTATATAAGACTAACATAAAAATACTTACTGAAATATCCTATAGAGATATCCATAAATCTATCTCTTAAGGAATGACTGGCAAGTCTAGCTTGTAGTTCTCGACATATGTAATATTCCCATTTATTTGGAGGTTTCTGATGTTTCAACGCTACTGTGGTGCGCATATGTAAATTCTGCGCTTTGAATACTGTTCCAAATTGCCCCTTACCAAGTAGTTTTTCTATAATGTAGCTATCACTACCTAAAATAATTTAAATCCGCATATTAATACAATTATTTCAATGATGAAAATATACAATTATTGAATCTTAATTTATTAACAATGAATTATTACTTATTCGATTAACAATTTTTGTCTTATATCGAATATAATACACTCATGGGCAGCTTAAAATTTTGATGTAATTTAAAGTTTAATATACACTACTTAAAACAATTATCGCATATTTTCTAAAAAAAGCATTAATTTGAAAAACACGGCACTGTGAATTCCCTGACTAACGATTTTAAATAGTATGGATACTTTGAAGGGAAATTAGATACAATAAGTCTACGCGCTAACCTGTAATTTTTAGTCGGCCGACTATTTTGTTGCAAAAGTGAAAACAACACATACTTATGAAGTCGATCGGCCGACTATTTGATTGCATGTGAGCGCGGCTCCATAAAGATATATTGGTTACAAATATGCAACTAAATAGTCGGACGACTAAAATTTCCTGTCAGCGCATAACCTAAGGATAACCTAAGGAAATAACCAATATAATCAAATATTGGGCCGATCGGCTCCATAAGAATGTATGTTTTCACTTTTGCAACTTAACAGTCGGCCGACTAAAAATTATATGTCAGTTCGTACCCTAATTATCTCAAAAAACTCACAAGAGAAAGGCAGAAAAATGCATGCTTCATTTAGAAATATTTAATAATTATTTTTATTCAAATATGTGATAATTATTTTGAGTAGTGTATTTTATTCTAGTAGACCGATTTTGATGTTTTTTTAAGCAGTATGTAGTAGCGATGGGAACTATCGAATGAATTAGACTATCGAATTGTTACTGAATGAATGATTTCAACTATTGAATGGTTTTATTCGAATAAAATCATTCATTCATTTGTATAATAAAGCATATGTGACAACCTCGCCGTGCGACTAAATGGTTATCGTTGAGTTTTTTGGTTTATCTCATTAGCTCTATTTTTGTTGGAGATATTCGCTCTTGAGGAAGACTAACATTTTTTCGTAATTTTAACATTAGAACTTTACCTTTGCTTCCGTCAACAGGTCCGAGTCAACAGACCTAGTAAGTTTTCAACCTATTGTTTTAAAGCAAGACACCTTGACATAACATTTGCTTCGTTTATATTCTTTATTATAAATTTGAAAAGCTAGCAAACGGTGGTTGCTTAGCAATAAACGTACAATAAGTCAAAACCGTTATTTTTAAATAACACTTGAACTGTTATTTATATATAACAGCTTAAAATAACAGGTTTCTGTTATTTTTTGACTTTAATGTTAAACACCTAAAATATCATACACATTGTCCAAAGTGTAGTAAAATCATAAAAATCCTCATATTTATTTCTTAATAAAAAATAATGCACTTAAAATATAAAATTTATAAGCAAATTAAACTCTGTTTTAATTTTTAGAATATGTTTATTATATTATTAATAATTAAGAAAATAATTATTAAAAAAAATCAATATTACTAATTAAAAAAAATAATGAGCTTAGACAGTCTTTATTTTTTTAAGTAGTTGAAAATAGTGATGGGTTGTTATTTAACTATCTGTTATTTTATAACAATTATTTATAAATAACATAACGCAACCGTTACTACTTCTAAAAAATAACAGATATAAAATAACGACACGTAGAGATCGGCCGCTCGTGAAACGAAAAACGAAGTCGGCGCTCTGCACCACCACGAAATTCTATGCTGCTCGAAGCAATTCCAAAAAACAACTAGTATGGATGGAAAACATGTTATTTCGTCAACCATCGATACAGGAGGCGAGACAACGGACAACGGAGTGGGGAAAGCGCTACGGCGAACGTAGCTGCTTCGGTCGAAACCGTCGATGGTCGTATTGGGTTTGCAACAGTTTAAAAATAATATGATATAAAAGAAGCAGGTTTTTTGAAACAGTTGCGGGCATAACGCCTGGCGGTCGAGATAACAGGAGTGGGAAAGGAACCCTGCTGCATCGGTCGATTGTCGATGGAGGCTCGCAACGGGTTGGAGAAGCAGTCATTTTAGATATGTTGTTTTTGAACCTGTTACGAGCATAACAGGGCGGCGGTCGAGATAATCGGAGTGGGAAAGGAACGCTGCTGCATCGGTCGATTGTCGATGGAGGTTTGAAACAGGTTGGGGAATAACGCATCAGTTGTTTTAGATACATTCTGTTTCAACCTGTTACGAGCATAACGGACGGAGGTCGAGATATTATGGCGCTGTATGTTTTAGTACTTACTTATTAAGTTTCAATATTTAGGTATTTATTTATTCTGAAAAATTTTCAGAATAATATTTTAAGATTTTTTAAAAATGTATACATTGTGTTTTGAAAAATCTGGTCATTGATTAATCACGATCCTGCTTAAAGCCCTTGACGTAAAAAGCTGATTTTTGGAAAACGGATTGGCTTTAGTGTGTAGAGGTTCGACCAGAAGGGATTTTTCGAAACTCGAATTCTAAGGGGGTGAAACTACTCTCAAATATTAGAATATTTTTATTTAAAAACCGGTGAGTTTTTCGGAAAAACTCTTAAAACACGTATATTTTATTATGTTGTTTTACATATTTTAAGATTTTTTAAAAATATATACAGGGTGTTTCATAAAATATGACCACTGAGTAATCACTATTCTGCTTAAACTGCTTGACGTTTAAAGCTGATTTTTTGCAAACGGATTGACTGTGGGGTTTAGGTTCGATAAGGAGGGGTTTCTCGAATCTCAAATTCCAACAGGGTGAAAACGCCCCTCAAATATTACAATATTTATTATTTAAAAAACGGTTAGTCTTTCGGGAAAACGCCTGGACACGCATAATTTATTTTGTTTTTTTTACATATTTTGAAATTTTTTAAAAAATCATACAGGGTGTTCCAAAAAGTTGAGTAATTGATTAACCACGATTCTGCTTAAACTGCTCGACGTTAGAAAGCTTATTTTTGACAAATGTGAGACAATTTTATCCAGTTTGTATGTTAATGGAAATTCTTGTTTTGCTTTATCATCACCATTAGAAATTATTAATTCGACGCGAACGAAGTCGCGGGTACACGCTAGTTTAAGTGTAAAATTAATTCGAACTCTAGTGTGTAGTTGGTTTACTTATGAAGAATATACTACACATTTTCTTATATTGCTATTTGTTGACCGCAAATGGTAAAATCATAACTAAGAGCTCCTCGCCCGTGGAATGAGATGCACTCTGTACACTGCTACGCAATCTCGCTCGGATCGAGGGGCAGGGCGTAGGTAGAAGAATGTATAGGTATAGACGAGTGGCGGAATTTTGGCTTTTTTATATCGCAATTTGTAAACAGCGCTTATTTGTAAACAACCACCGTTTTTAGAGAGGTATTTTAGATAACAATCGTTATTTAGAAATGTTTTGACACCCTGGAAATACTACCACCGAGCACGTCATTGTTGCAACTTGCAACTGCGTTAATACGCCTGGCGGTGACCGCCTCATATTCTTTCAGATATTTAGCAGTAAAATAAAGAAACCTGTTATTTTTAAGCTGTTATTTTAAGCTGTTTTTTATAAATAACTATAACAGTTTCAACTGTTATCTAAAAATAACAGTTTTGCCCATCACTAGTTGAAAAGCACTTAATATTTCTAATCACCAACGTTCTAATGCATTTAATAACTAAATTTCTAATCATCATTCACAATTTCTTAATATCATTATTGTTGACAGGCAAGTAAAATTGTCTTTGAAAAGTTATTAAAATGTAGCAAAAACAATGAAAGTACATATTGTAATAATAAATAACATTTTGTTTTCCCTTGTAAAATTGATAAATGGGAACTTCCATTTTTAATTTAGAAAGAGATATCGTAAAGTCAAATAATTTAGCTAACAAACTGTTTAAAAGATCATCAAAATCAGTCCACTAGAACACAATATAGAAAACTGTAAAATACATCAAAATTTTAAGTCGTCCGTTTTTCGTGTCGTTGAGTGTAATTTGTATTGGATTTTTTGTTATTGCCGGATCTGAACTAATTGAAATTTGAAACGACTAATTTATTCTACTAATTTCGAGGTTCTGAATGAAGCTTAATGGTTTGGAACCATTCATAATAACCGACAATATCAAAAATTGGAAGTAAGACATTATGTTACAAACCTATGTATATTGGATCTTTTCTAATTGATAATTTAGGATTTCCGTCAATTTGTAAAAGTCCCTGATGATGGATTCCTGGAAAAGATACTCTCTCTAATAAGCGTGATATTAAATTTGGATTAAAAGGATCTGATGGTATATATTCTAATGGACGAGTCAAATTAGGAGGTGGAATTTTTCGCACAGGACTTTCTATTGGTGTCGACTGCATTGGAGAATGGGGTGTACATATAACTTGTGTTGGTAATACGTCCTCTAAATCATCCATTAGATTACCTGAAAATAATTAAGTCATCTTCACAAGATTTCTTTATAATATTTATCGGTATCATACCTAAGAGACTTCGTCGCAATGCTGCGTTGGCCTTTAAATTTTGTTCTAAATAACTATTATGTTCTTCCGATATTGTACTCATTTTAATTTGCTGGCTATAAATTGATGATTTGGTAGCTGCCCCGCTTGAACTAGAACTTGATCTAAAATATAAATGTTATGAATTACATTTGAGTATGGAAGATTAACTAATGGCAGCTAATAAACAAATACAGGGTGTTCCTTAATGACATGCTAATATTCAAGCGGGTGATTGCTGATCATATTCTAAGAAAAAAACTTCATATGAATGTATGTCCTAAACAACTTAAATTTTGAGATACAGGTTGGTAATTTTTTTTCATAATAACTCCGATGTTATTATAAACTCACCGGCAAAAAAAACCGGCCACTAAAAACTAGTCCCAATTTCAAAGTTGGATTGCTCGCGAACCACTCATTAGATTGTGATGATTTATTTTTTAAATTGTAAATTAATTCCTTCTTAACGGATGCTACGTCAGAAATTTTTATTTCGAATTTATTTTGAGCATATACAGGGCACAACAATAAGACGAAGTTTTTTGCCCGAACTTTGTAACACCCTGCAGGTTGCAGCAGCTGTAGTAGCTATTGCTAATTCAAATCACATTGTAGCCTCATCTTTTGTGAGCATTTTATTTTTTTAATCATGACTTTATCTCTGTATTGGAGATACGCTGCTTTAAAACGAACGTCTCGGAAAAATGCTTCGCAGGCAGAAAGTTTTATGAGTAAATAGTCAAGGCAACATAGGCGAAAACGGATTTAATAGTGTTTGCAATATGACAACGGTTGTCAATTGTTGGCAATTAAAAAATGCCATTATCTGTGACGGATGTTGCTCGTATTGTGGCTTTAGTTGAGGATGACCGAAGTCAACGTTATGTGTCCTATACCCGGGGTATACCTCGAACAATCCAGGATGCCTGGAATCGGTATATGGAAACGGAAAATTTCACCAGGCGAGTGGGTTCTGGAAGAAAACGGAAGACAAATGCAACTGACGACCGCTTTATTGTCCTGAATACTTTACGAAATCGTAGAATTACAGCGTTTCAGAATCAACATCTGCTACAAGCCGTGCGTAGAACTCAGTCAGTGAGAGAACAATCCGACGAAGACTAAAAGAAAACAGCTTGTCTGCAAGGAGGCCTGCCACAGGACCCCAGCTACTTCCAAGACATCGTCGAGCACATCTTCAGTTTGCGCGTTTACATGTGAATTGGGATATTGAGCAATTGACTAAAGTACTTTTCACGGATGAATCGCAGTTTTGCCTGCGAAGCATTTTTCCGAGATGTTTTTTTAAAGTAGCGTATCTCCAATACAAGATCAGCCAGAAAGGACAAGAGATCGGCCAGAAAGGACAAACGAGCTTGGCATGAACAACTAGCAAACGAGGCACAAAAAGCCGCAGAACAACGCAATATGAGGGAACACTTCAGCAACCTGCTTGGACCAATAAGTGAACAAAATTTCGACAACGAGGAACCGGAGCCAACAATCGAAATGCCTATCAACTGCGACACGCCAACGAAAACAGAAATACAAAAGGCTATTAAAACACTTAAGAACAATAAAGCAGCCGGCCCCGATAGCGTCCCTGCAGACCTCCTCAAAGCAGATCCTAGCACAGCAGCAGACATACTGCATCATCTAATTACCCGAGCTTGGGTATCTAACATCATCCCAGATGAATGGAAACAGGGTCTCATTATTAAACTCCCTAAAAAGGAGATACCACTAACTGTGACAACTGGAGAGGTATTGTTTTGTTAAACACCATTCACAAGATAATATCTTCTATAGTTCATTTAAGGTTAAACTCCTATATAGAGCCTACTCTGAGAGAGAACCAAGCTGGTTTCCGACCGAACCACTCGTGCATTGACCATATTAACACATTGCGCATTACCATAGAGCAGTCAATAGAATTTAGGTCACCTTTATTTTTATTATTCATAGATTTCGTCAAAGCTTTTGACAGTATCCCCCATGCGATGGTATGGAAAACTCTAAAAGAAAAAGGTGTTCCGGAAAAACTAATTAATATAATCAAGGAACTCTACAGAAACACAGAATGGAATGTGCTGCACAACGGGAGAACAAGCGACAGTTTTAACTTAGGGACAGGAGTAAAGCAGGGTTGCACATTATCGCCGCTTCTATTTAATATCGTACTCGACAGCATTTTGACTAAAGCCACAGCAAACATTAGGGGAGTACAATGGACTCTGACATCACATCTGACGGATCTTGATTATGCTGATGATATCTGTCTCACAACGCAATCCTTCAAAGACATGGAAGTGATGCTCAGACGTCTAAAAACAGAAGCAGACAAAGTAGGATTAAGCATAAACATCGACAAAACAAAGTCAATGCGCATTAACACAAACAACAGCACTCCATTCAATGTAGGAATCAAACATGTCGAGAATGTAACAGAGTTTACTTACCTGGGAAGTATTGTAACAGCAAACGGTGGCGCAGACGCGGATATTGTCAGCAGGATCAGGAAGGCGCGGCGAGCCTTTGGCCAACTAAAATCAGTTTGGACCTCCCGTCAACTCTCCATACAAACAAAATTAAGAATATTCAATTCCAACGTCATACCAGTTTTATTATATGGCTGCGAGAGACATGGAGAGTGACAAAAATATCCATCAACCGTCCACAGGTGTTTATCAATCGCTGCTTGCGGAAAATACTTAAAATCTTTTGGCCAGACACTATACGTAACACCGACCTGCTTCATCTTACAAACCAACAAGAAGTAGGCATTGAAATCCGCAAAAGAAAATGGGGTTGGATAGGTCACACTTTGCGGAAACCTGATAGTAAAATATAAGTATAGTATTTTTTATTTTATATAAGTATAGCGAAATCTGCGTTGGAGTGGAATCCCCAAGGAAAAAGAAAGCAAGGACGACCTGCTCACACATGGAGACGTTCCATACTGGATGAGCTTCAACAAGTAGGGTCAACATGGAAGGAAGCAAAAACAACTGCCAAAAACAGAACCCGATGGAGAGCTTTCACTGAAGCCCTTTGCTCCGCGTAGGAGATATAGGATCCTATTTATCTCCAATACAAACAGAGATAATGTCGTGATTAAAAATACAAAATGCTCACAAAAGATGGGGCTACAATGTGACTTGATTTAGCATACTACCGCTGCTGCACCCTACAGGGTGTTACAAAGTTCGGGCAAAAAACTTCGTCTTATTGTTGTGCCCTGTATATGCTCAAAATAAATTCGGAAGAAAAATTTCTGACGTAGCATCCGTTAGAAAATAATTAATTTACAATTAAAAAAAAATCATCAAAACCTAATGAGGGTTCGCGAGAAATCCAACTTTGAAATTGGGACTAGTTTTTAGTGGCCGGTTTTTTTTCCGGTGAGTGTAGATATATTTATGAAATTTGCTACGCGTTTTCTATACATCAAAATGCCCTATTTTGATGTACCAGGGGCGTCCATACGGATATTGAATTGAATATTTTTGAAGAAAAAAACGGTACGCCACTGACTTCTCTTAGAATAAAATTATTTTCAAAATCCTCATTCATTTCTCAGCAATTTTCATCTCCTGATTTTTTTTGGGCGGACGCATAGTTGGTTTTGCTTAAAAAAATAAAGGTAATTCTACTTCAGGGTCATATCGCTAAAAATCTGAGGCGGTGAGTGTTGTGTGGAAATGGTTTTTGCCTGGGCTGGATGGAAATTAAGTTTCAGTTAATCAGTTTCATACATAAAAAAGGTGTATGAAATTTCATAAAGATAATTATAACAACCTCAGAATTATTAGGAGAAAAAGGTATTTTTTTAGAAAATTTTACCACCCTGTATCTCAAAAGTTAAGATGTTTAGGACATATATTCATATGAAGATATGAAGTTTTTTTCTTAAATAGGTCCAATAGTCAGTGGCGTTGACCTTAAAAAGCACCAAAATATTTCAGTGCTGGACACCAGCACCAAATTTGGCACACAGCTTCTACACATAATGGGGCTTCAAAAATTGCCGGGAGATAATCTCTGGCATGTCCGGATCATCCTTTGATGACGTCATCAAAATGGCGGACAAAATTTTTAGCATGAAATTGGATTATCACTTGTAACTTTGTTAATATTTAACCGATTTTAAGTTTTAATAGCTCATTTTAAAGCTTGAATAATTTGCTAAAAAAACATATTCAGTTTTTTTGTAGGAGGGGTAGTTTTCACGCATCAATTAAAATTGGAATAAATAAATGAAAAATGACGGTTATATTCTAAACAAATTGAAACGTTAAACCAACAAAACAAAAAAAAATAATTTATTACGTATACTACTCATAATTTTAACTATGAGTAGCCCCCCCCCTCCCCCATCGACATATCCCCCCCTTGCCATGTCTCTGAAATGTTACACATTTGTTTTAATAAGCGAAGTAATAAAACTTTTTTTTTGAAGAAACAAAATGTACATAAAATAAATATTTTTTAAATATTTATTTTTGTTAACGAACGGATTGTGGTGAGAAAAATTTCAATACATGATGTTATTAAAAGAAATAACCTACCTTTACTCAGTCAAAAAAAAAATCCAAATTAAGTCCAAAGATAAACAAAAAATCGTCGATCTTCGAAAGGACAGTAATATTTTCAGTAGACTTTATATTGCTAGTCAAGTTAGACACTTGGGCATTAATGAATTTGTTGCCAAGGAGAACATTTCGTATCCACCATCTATATCGGAATTCGGAAAATTGCAAAAACCCTCAAAGAAATATGACATTGTTTCATGCATTATTCAGACAACAAAAATTACCGACAAATTTGTTGAGGCACTTAAAGTATCTACACTAATTATTGATGGAGCTGCCCTTGTTCATATGTTGATACCTCAATCAAGCAGAACATTCCAACAGTATAGCGAAAACATCGTTCAATCTTATACTCGGTCAAGATTTGCAAGGGTAGATAGGGTCGATTTTGGTTTTAATCAGTATAACCCGGAAAGTTTAAAAACAGAGACAAGGGAGGCGAGAGGTTCTGGAGATAGGGAAGCATAAAGCCCAATGTGGTAATTCCCAAAAATTTTAATTCCTTCTTGGCACAGAGCCAAAATAAACAG